AAAATGATGCCAACAGAGAAGCACAAGTAGTTTGATGGGTCCTACAGACCAATATTGATACGAGAGATTCACAACGACTTCACAATATATTCAACACCTGTTGTACCGTGAACGAGAAGGTATGCAGTCTCATCATCGATGACGGGAGCAGTAAGAACGTGGTTTCTACATAGATGGTTGATAAATTGGGCTTCATGACTCAGAGTATTCCCAATTGTATTCACTAACAGGGCTGATGAGGGAGAATTGGGTCAGCATCGACCAGAGATGCTTAGTAGAGTTTTCGATTGGGGACCAGCTGAAATACCAGGTGTAGTGCAACGTGGTCCCTATGGAAGCATGTCACCTTTTTCTCGGGAAGATTGTAGTAGTTTGACCGGAGGACTCAACACGACGGATTTAGAAACACATATTCCTTCACCAAATATGGGAAACACATCACCTTACTTCCTTCGACAGAGCCCGAGATCACAAGACCCTCACCAACTAAACAGCCTCGGTAAGACCAACTTTGGTACCGACAGAGGATGAGAGGATTAGGACACCTGCTCCAAAAATGAGACATGCATGACAGAGGGTATTTTAGGATATCACAGCCCACACCATACAACTAACGCCACCACCATGCAGGAAGGTTCCCAATACCCCCACCTCAGATCTAGTTAAACCGGGCTTGGATTTCACTGGGAGTATTCAGCAGTAGTGTCGAGATGTGCATACTCAATTCCATTCAGTAGCAGACTCCCAGAAGATTGGATTGATGTGAACATTTGCTAGTAACGTGGGAAAGACCCTAAGGTGCCTTAGAGAGTGGTGTAATCACTAATGACATCTAGGTATTGCTAAGATTGTAGACAAGAAAACAGAAGCTTCGACGAATGAGGTTGAAGCTCCCTCAACTCAAGGAGACTGATGCGGGGCTAGGGAAGCCAGCCGATTGAACCGGCTGACAGAAGAGAGGAACTAGTCCGCCTGGTTTCTTAAAGTCCTAGTCCAGGCCACAATTGGACCGGGCGGCTATTTGGTAAGGGCGGCAATGCTGCCAGCCCTTTCTCCTGTCTTTCCATTTCTAGTTTTCCTGATTGGAGTCTATATATGTGATGTTTTCTTAGAATCAGGCTTATGCTATGTTGTATTACTATTTTCATATTCTCCTTAGAGTCTCCTTCTCCCTTGCTAGGGTTGTATCCTGCTCCAAGGTGGTGCCGTATCCTTCCCAATCTCCTCCCTCCCATCCTCCCTAACTCTCCAAGCTGCTAGCCATCTTCCCCTTTTCCCCCTCCAGCCCTCAAATCGGCAACTGCCCCTTTGCCTACAACAATCCCTGCTACCAAGTTCTCAAGCCGCCAACCTACAAGCTAAAAGGAAAGCCTCGTGATTTAGGAAGTCAGTAAAGCGTCATGATTTAGGAAGTCAGTAAAGCAACGAGTAAGGAAGGAAATAAGAGCAAAAGATAAGTATATATTTTAGTTCTTACATTGGAGAGGTGGGAGGAAACCCAAGACCTAGGAAGAGAAGCACTAGTCATATCAGTGCCGGTATGTTTTGTGGAGGATTGGAGCTGGGGATCCTTTGATCCATTTTACTCGAGCTTTATTTGAAGTTTTATATGAGGTGTAATTGAAAAAAAAAAAAAAGAACTTACATATCATTGATTTGTTATTGTATTTTTATGCTTGATATTTAATTTTATATTTTAATATGACATTCTAATCTTAAAATCATATTAAAAACATCATCTTATGTTTATTTGACGCTCTTTCTCATTATAGTTCTTTTATATATAATGATAGCATTCTTCTGAGCATTGTCAAAATAATGCAGTTCTTTAGCACATATAATTATCAAATATCTAGGATGCCCAAAGCATTACTTAGCATTGAATTTGCATCTAGTAACGATATTTCTCTTTCAAAGAACATATGCTACAGACATGCTTGAAGAAACGAGGCTTCTTGGGGTTGTGGTTATTGAACTTTTAGTGGATACTCGAGAAACCTCAAAGAACAAAGAATACTTCAGAACTTCTTGTTATTGATGTCTAGTTGATAAACGTATCTATTTGAGCATGACTAAAGCTAGTATATTCTTTTTTGTTATTGTGGTTATCCTGCAACATGAATAATTTGAATAATAATGGTCTATTTGGGGCAGCTGTAACTTATCCAGCTTATCCTGATAAGTTGTTTATCTTGATAATCTAATGATAAGTAGCTGATCCAGATAAGTTGTCTATCTGTTTGGTTTGTGCGTTTAGAGAATAGCTGATTCTGAAAATATGACCAATCTGCCCCTGTTTTGAATAAGCTGCAGTTGTTTGGTTTGTGCGTTTTGTAAACAGCTTATTTGCATATTTTTTTACAAATTTACCAAATTTCTTAATCCAATCAGAAAATGAATATAAATGTGAAGATTGTAGAACATGAAAATACATAGAATTTTGGAGCAATTTCTCTAATGTGTAGGTTAATTTGGGGACCAACAATGAGCAACAATTACATAGAATTTTGGAGTCCATTTCCAGAACCAAGTTCCGTTGTAAACAAAAAGAAACCTTGAGTGTAGTCAAGACAGACACAGTTTCAAAACTAGTGGAGAGACGGGTTGGGTAGGAGCAGAAAACAACAACCATTTATGTTTCCGGACATATGGATTTCCTAAATATGAAAACTACTGGCAATATGCTTAGAAGGGGAGATGCCTATTTTGCTTTCCAATATCTACTTGTCTTTGCAGATTCCAACGAAAAATTTAAGAATTTATAATTATTTTAGACAAGTTGTTCTTCCGTGGAACAATTTTAAAGAAAAATAGTTATCACCCGTCATAAATGAATGAGCCTTAAAACTAATATGTTTTAAAAACATCTATTTTACAGCTTACTGAAACCATAAGCACAAAAATACTTCCTTCTCTTGGTGCTTCTGATGATAAAAATGAGCCCTAAAACTATAAATCTCCAGGTGTTTAATGTTGATCTTAGAAAGCCAAGCTGAGAATCTTCCCTAAAGATAGCCAGACCACATAAATTATTGTTGAAATAAGAACTAACAGATTCACCCAAATCCTTCCACAACAAAGAACGAAAAAAAAAAACTTGGGAGCGCCTTTTTCACGGGAAGCTACAAACCGAGGAGCAGCAAAGGAGCGAGGAGTAAAAGGGTTATCAGTGAGAACGATTGCCGAAGATGGAGGGAGACGCGGATCAAGCGAAGAGACAGACTGCTGCGACGGCGTGCGGGATTGAACGAGCTGACCGCTGCGACGTCGTGCGGGATCGAGGAGCGCTCGTTGCGAAAAACAGAGGGCAGAGGAGCGCTCGTTGCGAAAGACGGAGGGTAATACTTGCCTTTCGACGGTATTAAACGCGGATCGCGGGGTCCTACCCGTGATTGCGTCTAATACAAATATCATAGTAGAGTTTTGTAAAAAGTGATAGAAATGTGATTTCCAAACGGATGATAGCGGTTTGAAAACGCAACCGCTGCAAATAAGCTCTCCCAAACGCACCCTAAATATTGGGAGGTTGCTCTAAAGATTTCTAAACATAATAAGAATATTTTTGAAAAATGATTAGTTTATTAGAGACAATCATATAAAAGTTGAAGCCTACACATATGTTGATTACATTGGAATGGTTAAATATGGAAAGTTAGTTTATATATCTTTATTGGTGAAATCTTATGACATGGAGAAGAACCAAATAATTATAGGTAGATTTAGTGATGAAAAAAATATAAGGTCATGAATCACTCCGCCTGTGAGATGATGTCAGTAAAACTTTATCTTAAATATTTTGATTTTTCTTATTTCCGAACTTATGATTTTGAACAGTGATTATCAAGTTCCTATCGATATTTGTTTCAATATAGTCTTTCCTGAAGAGAGTAAATGCATTCAAGTTTAACTATCACTTCTTATGGATTTTGTTTTGTTTAACATTATCACTCATCTTGTTAGTGAAGAATAATTAGTTATCTTTGTTGAGGTACTCAGACCTCATTTTCAAATCTATTTATTAGTTGATTCTATATGTTCTTACCGGAAAGAGAATTTTAGCTTAGGAGTATTTTGATTAGAAAGCGATCTATATTCGGTGAGTGGAATACATTAATTAAGTGTGCCTTACAAACAATGTTTCTCTTTATGTAGCATACAAATATGTGAGTACTAAGAATTAAATGTAACTAATATTTTGATACTTAGCCCACTCAATGCAATGTATTGTCCACTTCGGTACAACCCCAATCATATCATCCTTAATCATACAGTTTTATCCTTCTTGATTTAGATGTTTAGCATGTCACCTGTCCTAAAAATACTCCACAATCATGTTTAACTGAGAACTAATTGAAACTTCATCTGATCGACCAAATGGAATCTCAGATGTTTAGCCTAACCTTTTACTTATATAAGTCAATGTCATTTTCATCTCTTTTATGCAGGATTTGGTCTATTTTTGTCCATTTTTTGTCATCCTAGCAATCCATCAAGAGCCACTTGTTTGTTCGGATTTCAGGTTTAAGTATTACTTTATGCCCTCTTCTAATTTCTAACACTATGTTACAGGTCCAATAGATTCCACTTAGTTCGTCCACAACCCACATTGTATTAGTGGACTACCCATGACAACAATTATAATGGACTACCCTACGCTAGGCAAGATTATCCATTTAGCCTAGTTTGTCTCATTCTATGTTGAACCTCATGATTTTACCATTCTTGGCTCAAATAACTCTTAGATTTGGTAATGTTACAAGTTCACCTACTTCTGCTTAATTCATCCCCTAATCACACATCATTCAAGTGGATATGTACCTCTTATACCCATTATAAAGGCCTAGTTCACTTTATGTGGGGTATTGTCTAGTTTGGCCCAACTACAAAGACTTTCCCTGTTTGATAGCAGAATTCATGGGACAATTTATTTCCAATTATAGTCATCATCTGATTTTTTTTTTTCTTTTGAAGAAGGTGATGGTAATTTTGTTAATTTGCAGGTACAAGCATTTTGGATGCAATCAAAGAAGCAGTTGGAGAAAAAACTGAAGTTACCTATGAGCAGCACCCATCAGAAGAAACTTTTGCAAACGAAGAGTTCTCATTTGCAATTGTAGTGGTGGGAGAAGTAGCATATGCTGAGACACTCGGTGATAGGATGGAGCTCAACATTCCATTCGGTGGTGCTGAGGTTGCAAGTTATGTAGCTAGCAAAGTTCCCACATTGGTGATTGTGATATCTGGAAGGCCTTTGATTTTTAAGCCAGATTTGTTGGATAAGATTGATGCTCTGGTTGCAGCTTGGCTACCAGGGACTGAAGGGGGAGGTGTTGCTGATGTTATATTTGGAGATTATGACTTTCAAGGTTTGCTTCCAGTAACTTGGTTCAAATCAGTAGACCAGCTACCGATGAATTCTGATCATCCATCTTATGACCCACTTTTTCCTCTTGGGTTTGGATTGAAAATGGGCCTGAATTGCAAATAAGCAATTGTGGTTTGTGTGTCATTTATATGATAGGAATAAGATGAATTCATCTAGGCTGATGATCCAACATTGCCTTAGCAAATATGAGAGTTGGGGATTCTGAACCTACTTCTGACACAAGTTGTGTTTTAATTTAAACTTCTGTAATAGATGTTCAAAATAGATATATATATGATATGCATGGCTTTCATTTTCTCCGTTTAGGCATCTAGATTTCTGCTAATAGACCGTCAGTTTCAAGGACCTAAAATGGTTCCATTTCCCCAATACTTGTAAGGTTTTATAGAGCAACTCATTTCTTCACATTGTGGCATCTTGCTCTTCTTCACACGACAAAAGATGTAAATAAGTCGAGTTATCTATTTAGTGGCCAGTTCAAAGTCCAGCTCACACAGAGAGCTCCGCCATGGCTTGCTTTCCATTGGGCTTTAGCTAGAACCAAACTTGTAGAATGTTGTGATGGAAAATTAAAATAAAATCTCATCCTACCACATATCAGCATGATCAAATGCCCCATTAATGAAGGCCTAATTTTAGAATACTTGTCGCAGGCAAACATTGATCTTGCCAAAAGCTCAACTTATCGGGATTTTACTTTATTTAAATATGATTTGCATTCAAATAATTATCAAAAATAATTTATTAGTTACTTATTAATGTTAAAAAAAACTATGAAATATAAAATGTGAAGTATACGGCTTCGTTAGGCGATTAACTTTCATTAACTACATAAATATTCTAAGATTGACTGGATAAAAGTTCGAGTATTTCATAATATAATTTCATTCAAGCTAATATTGAAATTTTATTAGGTAGAATATCAATAACCTATTTTGATATTATCACAAAAATTATTAATATGTACTTTATTTTTAAATAGAGATAAATACATACAGACCAGTCGAAACAATGCTATTTACAAATCAACCGCGGTTTTCATCCATTTTTCAAATTCTCACTCAAATACCAAAATTCATGGTAAAACCCCAACTCTTATTTTCATTTTTATCAAATTCTCAATAATTTGATCGTGGTGAGCACAAATATTTTGGTTCGGTGGTTTAAAAAATTCAACTGGGTGTATGGGCACATTTCCCTGCTGCCCAAAACTTCTATATTAAAAAGAAAAAAAATTACATGTGGACGATCTGTACTCGAGGTGTCCTCATGATGTACACCTCTACTTCACACGTACAAATGACTGCACGTAATATTCTCTTAGTTAAAAAGAGCGGAGGGTCTGTTTGGGGCAGCTTCAGCTTATCAATAAGTTGCTAATAAATAACCGATCCAGATAAGCTGCTGAGTAGCAACTGATCGAGATAAGATGGTTGGTTGTTTGGTTTGTGTTGTTAGAGAACAACTGTTTTGCAATTGTTTCCGGATAAATGACTATTTTGTCTCTGTATAGTAATGTTATTTGCGACAGAACTATCATATCAATATATTTTATACTTGAAAAACAAAAAATCACTTCATAGCAGTACAAAAAATAATATATACATCTCACTTAACAATGAGTATCAAGATTGCTAAAAAAAATTTAAAATTACAATTAAAAATATAATAATATTAATTTTAAAATTCAGACGACGTATGTCATGACTCATGAGCTACGTCATCCTCTAGAGATACCATCTAACCTCGATCACTATCGGCAGTAAATCTGTCGGATTGTTTGCCCAAATTGGGTTAGCATTAGCGTGATGAAACAATCTATGTACTTGTCTCCTAGCAGCGGTAATAGTGATCATGGTAATGATATCAATAAGAATGTACTTTTGATGAATTTTTTATAAAATTTTTCAAAGTAAGCCCACGGTCTATCAATGCATAATACTCTCTCAAAGAACTTTCATGATGTGATGTGATGTAATGCTTCACTCCATGAAGTTTATGTGGGTGAAAAGAATTTTTTTTATCATAATCTTTGAAATTGGGTTTGCATGAGCATGATGAAGCAATCCATATATTTGTCTCCTAACAGTGGTGATAGTGATATGACAATGATGATCAATGAAAATGTACTTTTGAGGCATTTCTTATAGAATTTTTCAAAGTAAACCCAAGACCTATCAATACATAATATTCTCTCAAAGAAATTTCGTGATGCACTGTGATGTAATGTTTCACTTCATGAAGTTTATGTGGGTGATAAGAAATTTTTTTTAACATAATCTTTGAAATTAGATTTGCATGAGCATGATGAAGCAATCCATCTATTTCTCCTAGCAGTGGTGATACTGATCATGGCAATGAAGATAAATGAGAATGTACTTTTGAGACATTTCTTATAGAATTTTTCAAAGTAAACCCAAGGCCTATCGGCCTATCAATGCACCTATCAATGCATAATATTCTCTCAAAGAAATTTGTGATGCTCTGTGATGTAATGCTTCACTTCATGGAGTTTATGTGGGTGAAAATAATTTCTTTTTACCATAATCTTTGAAATTAGGTTTGCATGAGCATGATGAAACAATCCATCAATCTGTCTCCTAGCAGTGGTGTAGTGATCATGAAAATGATGATCAATGAAAATGTAGTTTTAAGGCATTTCTTATAGAATATTTCAAAGTGAACACAAGGCCTATCGATGCAGAATATTCTCTCAAAGAAATTTTGAGATGCTCTGTGGTGTAATGCTTCACTCTATGAAGTTTCGTTGTGAAAATAATTTCTTTTTGCCAAAATCTTTGAAATTGGGTTAGCATTAACATGATGAAGCAATCTATGATCATGGCAATGCACTTTTAAGGCATCTCTTATAAAATTTTTCAAAGCAAACACAAGGTCTATCAATGAATAATATTCTCTCAAAGAAATTTTGTGATGCTCTGTGATGTAATGCTTCACTCCATGAAGTTTATGTGAGTGAAAAGAATTTCTTTTTACCATAATCTTTAAAATTTGGTTTGCATGAGCATAATGAAGCAATCCATCTATTTGTTTCCGAACAGTGGTGATAGTGATCATGACAACGGTGATCAATGAAAATGTACTTTTGAGGGATTTCTTATAGAATTTTTCAAATTAAATCCAAGACCTATCAATGCATAATATTCTCTCAAAGAAATTTCGTGATGTTCTGGGATGTAATGTTTCACTCCATGAAGTTTATGTGGGTGAAAAGAATTTCTTTTCACCATAATCTTTGAAATTGGGTTTGCACGAGCATGATGAAGCAATCCATCTATTTGTCTCCTAGCAGTGGTGATATTGATCATGTCAATGATGATCAATGAAAATGTACTTTTGAGACATCTCTTATAAAATATTTCAAAGTAAACACAAGACCTATCAATACATAATATTCTCTCAAAGAAATTTCGTGATGCTCTGTGATGTAATGCTTCACTATCATAATATTTGAAATTAGGTTTGCATGAGCATGGTTAAGTAATCCATCAATCTTTTTTTTTGAAAAAACACCAAACTTCGTGCTAAAAAAAATTATAAAAACACGTTGAAGTGAAATGCTCTTCACACTGCAAAAATTGATCCCCCTTTTCTACCATGCAAAATTGATCCTATCAGAACACAATGGTGCATGCACGCCTCCATCACAACAAATAGAAAGGAAAATACCAACAAATTCACGACCATCAAAACAATAATACCACGACCTCCATCACAACAAACAGAAGGGGAAACACCAACACCACTGCCTCCATCACCACTATCAAAAACCAACAAAGACATAAAAAAAATCCAATAGAGACATCAACATCCAACAGAAATGAAAAACCAAAACGACGTACGTGAGAAAGGATAAGGAAGGGGATATTGGAGTCCGAAACGAGAGGTTAGGGCACATGAGGAAGTGAGAGATCGCAGAGGAAGCGATAGATCGCACCTTCGGTTAGAGAAGACGGAAGAAACGAGAGATCACACTTTCGGTTAGGGCAGACACCGAAGCGAGGGATCGCAGAAGGGCGTCTGCGAAAATAAATAACACAAGAAACGCGGGCCACGACGTTAAATCCGCGGCACACGTTTTACTTAGAAAGCCTCGCAACACGCCTGAACTGCCGCCCCAAACGACACAAAACCACGACCTGAAGCCGCACCGCACCCCGAACGCCGCCCCAAACGGTGCCTTATTTATAAATTCACCCTAATGAGTAGCCTCAAAAGTTCATAAGCAGTTTCCACCAATTTTCAATCTCGACACAAAAGTCCATTAAGGTGATTGACGCCAAGTCGCGTGCCTTGCGTTGGTGGGTTAGATGCATTTACTTCATAAAAAAAACCCTGAATAGTAAAACTAGCACCTAGGCTCCAGTTATGGCTGCTTAGGCACCCTCTTCTCTATCATAATAATACTAATTTTGATCTTAGCATCTGATTGGGCACGAAGGTGCTAAAACCCAATAATGTGCAATATGATAGACATGTCACTCAAATGGCTCCAAATTCACTCCATCTTCATATAACGCGGACAAAATTGACCAAATTCAGTGTTATCAAATTTCTCTAAAACATGTATCAACACATATTTTATGATTAGTGCAATGACTTTCTCAAAATTCATAAAAAAATATGAAACATATAAAGATTTAATTGGGGGAAAATTCTACTAAAATATCTTCTCACCCAACACTTATTATAATCAAACACAATGTCACAAATAAGAGGTATGCTCAACTTTTTACCACTAATTTTGTTTATTAATAATTTGATTGACTCATACTAGAAAATCTACCCATAATAGACAATCAATATTTTTCACCATGCATGATTTGAATGGTGTAGGAAACAAAACATGCTTGAGAAATTTTGTAAAATCTAGACAAACTTATGTAAGCATATGTAGAATAATATAAATGACAACATATAGCAAATCAAATTATAAATACTCAAAAAAATTAAATAAGATTTAATTTAACAAGAATATTACAAATATTACAAGCAAATAAATAAGATTTATTTTTAACAAAATCTAAGATCACTAAATTGGTCTACTTATAAACTAGAACGCATCAATCAAATATCAAGGGTAAGAATGGGTTGATCACTAGGCTCAGCAATCAAATATCAAGGATAATGTCGGATTATGTTGTAGATTGATCACCCTCGTAAACTCAACAAAAACCCTATCACTATGTCTGGACCTCAAAATTTCATACCTCATTGGATCTTTGCATTATCTAACTGTCACTAAACCCGATATAACTTTTACTGCTAATTTATTAAGCAAATATGTGAACAATCCAACTACTATGCACTATCAAATGCTTAAAAGACTTCACAGGTATGTAAAAGGAACATTGCATTAGAGGTTACCAATAAAAACAGGAACATTTGAATAACATGGCCACGCTGATGCAGATAGGCAAGCAATATTGATTAGCAGTGTAAGCGAGTCAAGCCGACTTATGCTCGGCTCGATAAGCGGCTCGTGAACTGAGCTCGATGAGCTAACTTGAATCCTTGGTATTTGTAGAGGATACCATTAAGAGTATATAAGATAATGTCTTTATTATTAATTTTGGAATGGATAACTAGATTGATGCGTTCTAGTTTACGAGTAGACCAATTTAGTGATCTTAGATTTTGTTAAAAATAAATCTTATTTATTTGCTTGTAATATTTGTAATATTCTTGTTAAATTAAATTGAGAGCCAAAGTGCAATGGATAACTAAGCTTATCAAATCATGCATGATAATATCAAGGATAATGCCTGAACTGCCGCCCCAAACGACACAAAACCACGGCCTGAAGCCGCACCGCACCCCGAACGCCGCCCCAAACGGTGCCTTATTTATAAATTCACCCTAATGAGTAGCCTCAAAAGTTCATAAGCAGTTTCCACCAATTTTCAATCTCGACACAAAAGTCCATTAAGGTGATTGACGCCAAGTCGCGTGCCTTGCGTTGGTGGGTTAGATGCATTTACTTCATAAAAAAAACCCTGAATAGTAAAACTAGCACCTAGGCTCCAGTTATGGCTGCTTAGGCACCCTCTTCTCTATCATAATAATACTAATTTTGATCTTAGCATCTGATTGGGCACGAAGGTGCTAAAACCCAATAATGTGCAATATGATAGACATGTCACTCAAATGGCTCCAAATTCACTCCATCTTCATATAACGCGGACAAAATTGACCAAATTCAGTGTTATCAAATTTCTCTAAAACATGTATCAACACATATTTTATGATTAGTGCAATGACTTTCTCAAAATTCATAAAAAAATATGAAACATATAAAGATTTAATTGGGGGAAAATTCTACTAAAATATCTTCTCACCCAACACTTATTATAATCAAACACAATGTCACAAATAAGAGGTATGCTCAACTTTTTACCACTAATTTTGTTTATTAATAATTTGATTGACTCATACTAGAAAATCTACCCATAATAGACAATCAATATTTTTCACCATGCATGATTTGAATGGTGTAGGAAACAAAACATGCTTGAGAAATTTTGTAAAATCTAGACAAACTTATGTAAGCATATGTAGAATAATATAAATGACAACATATAGCAAATCAAATTATAAATACTCAAAAAAATTAAATAAGATTTAATTTAACAAGAATATTACAAATATTACAAGCAAATAAATAAGATTTATTTTTAACAAAATCTAAGATCACTAAATTGGTCTACTTATAAACTAGAACGCATCAATCAAATATCAAGGGTAAGAATGGGTTGATCACTAGGCTCAGCAATCAAATATCAAGGATAATGTCGGATTATGTTGTAGATTGATCACCCTCGTAAACTCAACAAAAACCCTATCACTATGTCTGGACCTCAAAATTTCATACCTCATTGGATCTTTGCATTATCTAACTGTCACTAAACCCGATATAACTTTTACTGCTAATTTATTAAGCAAATATGTGAACAATCCAACTACTATGCACTATCAAATGCTTAAAAGACTTCACAGGTATGTAAAAGGAACATTGCATTAGAGGTTACCAATAAAAACAGGAACATTTGAATAACATGGCCACGCTGATGCAGATAGGCAAGCAATATTGATTAGCAGTGTAAGCGAGTCAAGCCGACTTATGCTCGGCTCGATAAGCGGCTCGTGAACTGAGCTCGATGAGCTAACAAGCCAAGCTCAAGCTAGCTCCGACTCGGCTCATTAGCCATGAGCAGGCTCGTGTAAAAAGTATTAATTATACTAAAAATGTTTATAGCACATGAGCTTGCTCGGCAGGAAGCACTCTTTCGGCCTACATATCAATCGAACCAAGGCTTGTCAGGCGATTGACAACCCTCATCGATCCAATCAGTTCCCGGTTTTATTATATGCAAATAACTCTGTAATTTCCTAAAAGCCCCCCTTGAAAAGTTAATAATGAGGGGGCAAATATGTACTTTTGTAATATTGAGACCTAAGCCTATAAATAGAGAACCGTATTTTGAATAAGGGACACATTTTATCAGTCTAATACTGCCCTTTCTCTCTCTTTCTCTTAATCACTTCCTAATAGAATGTTTCTTTCCTTGGGTGTGTTTCCCAGATATTTTTGGATTTTCATTCCATTGCTAGGTAGGCTTTTATCTTTAAGGTTGCACCTCCATTTGTCAAGCTCAATGGGTCACGCTTTCATCGAGGGTTCATATAGCATGCATCTTGCCAAAGGGTTGAGCCATGCTAAATAGCCTTAACCCATGCGATTGGGGTTCGTCTACTTTTTGGAGTGGATTTAAGAGTTTCTTGGGATCCACATATTTGCGGGAATTGGTAATTGGACCTGCATATCGCTGGGTATCAGCAGTCCGTACATATCGGAGGGCATCATAAATTATCATATTAGCTGGCTAAATGAATATGGCACACTTAATGATCTTGGTCACTATGCATTCTAAATGATCAAAAATTAATTATAACAAACTGTTTTAAAATTATATTAGCTTTAAAGTAGTTTGTTATGATCAATCCTGTTAGCCAAAGTGCAATGGATAACTAGGCTCTGCAACCTACAACATAATCCGAGAAATCTGAACCTTGCTCTCTTCCACTTATAAATATAGCATTTTATCGACAATAGAGATATCAAAACAACATAAATTATAAATAATAATAATAATAAGCAAATAGCTTTTGCATGTCTCTTTAAGAAATTTTGCCAAAAAGAAGGCCAAATTATGAAGAGTGGCTGTTAGCCGATATTATCAAATATTTGTTCCCACTTTCTGTTAGATTCAAAGATAAATGTGATAATGCATAATAAACCACTGCTTTCTCATGCCAGTAGCCTGATACATAGCATACCAACTTTTTTTAAGCATCATTTTGTGGCCTAAGCAACAAACCTTATTTATGTTGCCAGACAAGGATTTCAGCACTGATTCCAATTATGATGCACTACTTCCATCTTTGGAGTATAAAGCATAACAAAAAAAAGGTTAATTGTGAAATATTTCAAAGGTAAATAATATAAAATTATAATATATCTTATAGCCCAACTATTATGGTCCTCTTGACAACAGTGGTTCTTAAAGACAATTTTTCATGCACCTCATATTTCATTTGGACGTTAAACACGTCCATATGCTCATGCAAGCACTTACTAACGCATGTAAAATCAACCGAAAAAACTAATTGCTAAAAGTAATACGACTCAAAAGGAGAAAAGAAATGGAAAACTGACCTTGAAGAACTTCTTCCGGTTCAATTCTAAAAAGGCCATGCTCGCTAATGATCTAATTAGCAAATTCCAAGTAATACCTCCAAATTATAAGGCCGGCGAAACATTTAAACAGCGATCAAATTTCGCATTCCAAATTCAAAAAACATTAAAGCGGCAAACTTTTTGAAACAAAGTTCATTGCAGAAAAAAATAATATACTATTTCTATAACACCACCAAATGTTGTCCACTGATTATAATTAAATATAATATACTTTACATAAATATCAAATTTATCTATAAGTTCATCTTAATAAACTCCGTCTCCAAGCACAGCCACCTGTCTTTGAATACAAACTTGTAAGGACAAGTGTGCGACTATATGAAACTCGCTATCTGTAGGCATAGCAAAAGTAACAAGCTTGGTTCCAGGCCCAGTAAACTATCCTCATTATTGTAATCAAAATTTAATTATTTTCGAAGAAGTAAAAGTGATTCATATGTATGCTTTACTAGCAAATGAGAGGCAGATTAATAGTGAAAATTTAGGGTTCCTAATACCAACCCCAAATAGGTGGATAAGCCTAATGATGATAATGGATTTAAAAGATAATTGACAAGCTAATTTACAAGTTATAGTGAAACCTCTTTATTGACAAAGAAATAAATATTAATTTTCTTAGCTAGTTGACAAACTAAAGCGGAACCTCTTTATTGACAAGCTAAATGAATAAAACACTGCAGCTATAGAATCTCTCTTTATTGACATAGAAATAACTATGCCGGTAAGAAATATGTAAGAGCACATTATAGGTATGACGAGATTCACAATCGATGATAGGGTCAATTGGGTTTTTGAATTTTCAACAATCTTTAGCCAATTCGTCCAAAAACATGTGTAATGAATCTGAATTCAGACAAACAAAGTGCAACAATAAATGGAGCAATTGCAAGTCTAGTAAAAGTATACAATTCAATAAATTTATTTTTTGAAGATTTGAACCAAACCACTAATGTACAATCTCCAAGCTTGTCACTAATGGAAGCTTATCATCTTCAAGGACCGGATAAAAAATGACCAAATTATTCTATCAAGTAAAGATTCAATCTAATACATTACAATAGAGTTATGTGGAAATTACATTCAAACAACTCCAAATATTATCTAATGGAATGATTAGGATGTAGTATCATAGATATGCATTTAAGACTCGCACTTAAGATAGGTGAACCAATGCAAGCTCTCTTAGCTTGTTGGTTGAGAACTTAGTTTTTTAACCAAGAGGTCATGGATTCGAGGTCATGCATATGCAGTGTATGTGTTTACGATTAAATTCATTCAAATTATATAATCAAATAAACTAGATATCTTGATTAAAACTAAATAAAATTTCTCCATTAGATGAAAAATGTGGAATCTTGAAGAGCTTTAAGCATGTAGATAAAGAAACTTGGTGATTTTTAGAAGTTGATAGGAGGGTGTAAATCACATTCCAGATAATGACTAAGGTGATTGCCCACCCGTTACTCAGTTTCAAATATTTCTTGTTAATTGTCACCCAACACCTATCATTGTCACTCGACTTCCAGCATTCTGTCACCCATCACTAGAGACCCTACCATTGACTAATTTCTAATGTCTATTGGCCATCAATGTCCAATACTCGTCCTCCATCCTCCCAATCAACAAATATTCACTCCTATCAAGAGAAAGACAGGTTGACCACCCTTTGTCCCCTAACTCCCGACATCAACCATCAAGTCATCTAACACTTGTGGCCATTAATAACTCCAACACAGTGTAACTCCCTGATACCAACACAAGAGATATATCTCATAGTTCATGTATTTTATATTATTTTAAAATATCTCTAGTTATAGAAAGAGCACCATTTGTAATCCTGGCCCACACAAGTGGAACTATGGTGAGTGAGCTAAATTCATGATTTTTTCCTCTATCTGCATTTTTTAACTAAGAAATTAGGTCTTCATTTATTTTTGCTCTCAACTTATTTATGCATGTATGAGATTTTAATACAACGTTAAGATCATTAAATCTTCTCTCTACAACTATGAATACTTCAACACACAATAATAATACCATCTGCAGTTTAAAAATATGAGTGATGTGCACACCGAAGACAGACAAAAAAAGTCTCAAGATTAGTGCAACCATGTCATCAAGGCTTGAGCCTTTTTTAACAGGCATTGCGCCTTAATGAGAAAATATAAAAAGATTATATAAATATATTATATAGTTAATATATCTTATACATAATATATTGCGTTATACTTATAATCTTATTTTATATCAAATATATATTCCATTAGGTCAACGCCCCAACAAAAAAAGATTTGATTCTAGATTTAGGTTAATTGCCCCATCTACATGTGATTCAAGATTGGTCGAGCAGAAGTGATGTTCTAGCGAGAGCTTATAATCTTATCTTCCAGAGCATGCGAGTATGAGAGCAAGAATGAGAAAGAAAGACCTTTTGTGAGCGGATCAAAAGCTTGTTATTTAAGATTTTTTTTTCTTTTTCTTTAGTAATTGAAAAAGTAGTTTAAAGATGATGATGAGACTAAATCAAAAGATAACAGATATATTAAGTATGATAACATGAAGATGAAAACGCTATAGAACCTAAACCTTGTGAGTTATTTAAATTTTAAATAAGTACTTATTTTAAAATCTCATTTCAACTTCCATTTTATAGTAATATTTGAGATTAAGATATGATTCTTTTTTCTTATTATGTAATTTTGAGGTTTATGTCTTTATAATGATGAATTACGTAAATATATCAATGATTTTATGACATTATAAATTAATTTTATTTTTTGAGTTTATTATTATTATTTAATTCTTTATTTAAAGATATGTGAGTTGAAGCTTATGTCTCACATCCTGAAGGCAAAACATCTCAATTCTGAAATTTGTCTTTTCAAAGCTTGACAACAATTATAATAATAATAATATTTTTTGTATATATTTTCATAAATATGAGACCGGATTTTGAATTGTTAGTGTTAGCTATTATTATTAGACATTATTGACAATTATTCTAATAGATTCAAATATATATGCGAGAATGTTTAATAACTAAGCTTTTCATACTAGCAACGCTATGGCCAACATAGTAAATCTTATGCAATCATGTGAGGATTTGAGCATTCATGCCAATTGTAATGCACGAGTTTTGATTTTTGAAGTTATTAACATAAAACGAAGAAATGATAGTGATTGTGAATTATTTAAAAGAGAAATTATATACAATTATCACCAATCTTACCCAACTGTTTGGGAACGAGTCAACAATTGTGGTTTTATGGGAAAATGATACATGCAAAATCAATTAAATATATACATTCTTAAAATTAATGCTGTTAGAAAGAAACAAATTGAAAACTAACTAGCCTTACAAGACTTCATCAAGTAAGTTCCAATAAATTTACTGCTCAATAAAGATCTTCTAGAACATCCCAGGTCAGAGCTTCATCAAAAAGATGGATAAGCAAAAAAATTCAAATATTTTGAATCTCTATATAAGCAGATGCTTCTCTTGGATATTTGCACTGGGCTTGAGGTATATCATCCATACAAGAAGGTATTCTACATTGAACCCTCTTCAACCAGTTCTAGTTAAGGCATTAACTCTACCAAATAGAAAAGTGATGTAGGTTAAGCTTCCTTTAACCATTTCTTAATGGGGCATTAGGTTGTCCTTTTTAAGACTATCATCATCCCCTTTAAACACCCCTTGATGGGACATCTTCCCATCTTGGTGTCCCTCTTAGAACTAAATTTTCAAGCGCTACAATTGTGGGTGAATAATAAAGATTGTTGTTGCTATGGCCTATGTTAATAACTCAGAGAATTTAGCTTCATATTCGTTGATGATCACTCTCATCTTATAAAAAAAAAGACTTTCAATGAGATTGCAGTTTGTGTTAATGCGTCGATCGCAATAGCTCTATTGGATATCAAACTAAGAAATTCATTAGGGGTTGGGGCTTTAATGATGAGTTATTGTAAATTACATGCTAAAGACCTTAAAAATAACAAAAGTAAGATAGTTGTATGATATGCACGATAGGCTATAAATTTTGCTTCTAAAATTCATTATAGTCTAGCAAAGGACTCAAATATAGATTAGTGAGGCTAACATTCAAATCTTCAACTAAGAGCTAGGGCTCCATGCTACCAACATCCTAAGCTAGTTAAGACATGCTGACGAAGATAACACACTTTTAGCTTTCATTGCTTTGAAAAACTCCTTGAATCATTGTTGTTGACAATAACATCTTTACAGAACATCCTGTACTCCAATGATAACCATAAATTGGTGCACCCAAGACAATGGAATGATAGGATCTTAATAATGATTAATCAATTCTTCAATATATCTACTCTCCCAATTCTTGCACATATAGCAAGATATAAAGAGGAGAGAACAGAACCCTTATTAATTGAAAGTAGATGCCCAAATAGAGGGGATAATTAATCATGGGACTTTTGCATAAACCTTAAAGCTCAAACCCATAGATCACTAAATCTTGATCAAGCATCGGGAGAAATAGGATTATATATAAATTAAATCAACCTCATTGAAGAACAATTCTCGGGCTCTCATGCATAAGGACCCTCCAGTTGTTAGTCCCTGAGCGTGCGACTAGCTTTAAAATTCAATAGCTATTTATAGTTTTCAATATTGAAATACCTTCTAGATTTATCATTTTATCTTTCCCAAAATGATCAACATTTTTTCCACCATTTTAAAAATGTATAATCAAGTGAAGCTTAGATTAAGGATTTTGTACACCCACTCAAGGACTCATTTATTGAAGGACAACTCAATTTTCTTGGCCTCGTAGTCATTTGTATTTGTTTTCTCACAAGTAGAGAATCATTAAATACGTAGCACTTCTTGACTTCACACTCATTGCTAGTTTTAGACTAGCTCTCAAAGCATTACAATCAACCTGTTATTTGTTTGAGGCTCAAAAAACAAAAAGTATCATATGATTCCAACAAGAGCCATAATAAAGGTAAATAAAACAGCACAACACAACCCAAATGTAAAGATGGAGCGTGAAACTAACTAGATTTTGTACAATATAGTATAGTGCAACATTATCAAGGTGAAGCCTAAAAAAAGATTATAAGTCACAAGACCCTCCATGAGGAAGTATGAATGTTAAAAAATCCAGAAACAACTATCAAAACCTATAATAAGAAAAAAAAAATTGAGCACTAACAATGACAGAAGTTGGGAACATTAGGGATATGTCTTGATTTTATGAAAATTCTGTAAGAGATTGATGTTAAATCAATGCTCTTATACTTTAGTTAGCAACCCTATTCTAACTAAAAGATGATGGATTGATTAGATTTCTCATTGCTAGCAACAGAGATATTGATACTAGACTGAACAAGTACTGAGAAAGTAGGTCCAAAAGGGAAAGTACACGAGCAAATAAACAGCAACATGGCGTCAAGGTTCATTGAAATTGCATACATATCCTTAATAGTTAATTAATTAATAGAACTGAGTAAAAATAAGTGAAATTTCTTCTCCCACACATTCCAATTTTAAACAGTACCATTGATTTCATATTGTCATTTTAAAGGTTTCAGACTAAAAATCATTCAAAACTAAGTTCAGGAACACATTCCAGTATAATCCCAGATTAAGTTTATGCTAACAAGACTAATCATACAAATAAGTCAGCTCTTTTGTAGCCCAGCTTGGTTTTTTGGGGCATCCAAGAACCAAAAGCCCCTGAACAGCAAAGAAGTCGAACAATTTGTGGAAGTTTTTGTCGATATAAATCGTGTTTAATTCAAGGGAAGGGTCATGCGCAATGTTGAAAAATAAACATTGTTGTAGGAAAATCATAGTTGATTTCATAATATAAGCCAGTAAAAGGAAATGAAACTGTGAAACAATAAATAACGTCGAACCTTTTCTTTTCATTCATAACATAACTTTGCACATTATCCATGCGATTAAATCGTTCTACATGTTTTTCTTCCTAGAGCATCTGACAAATCGTAAGCAATTAAAAGGTATGAACCCAATCGTTTAGCTGGTGAACCAACTTCAACTGGGTAATTAAATATATATGAACTGTAAAAAAGTAGGAAAAGAAAAAAGAGCGGGCAGCAATCCAACCTTCTCCTAAGGCATCTAAAATGAAATCAAATCTGTTGACCTGAGGAATCCGAAGAAGAAAATATTGCTTAACCTAGGGCACGCCTAATTCCTCCGAGCCGCAAGTACCGCCTCTCCTCCAGCAGAGTGGCAAAAACAATCTACTGCAGTGTTTGGTTGCACGTGGAGGAAGCGAACCGCAAGTACCGCCTCTCCCCATGTACACCATGTACAGCGCTTGTAAGCCCCATGTAATCCCGATGTAACCTCCTCTGTCGACAAAGGATGTAATCCCGGTATACATTCCGCGGATTCGTCATTGTAATCCGCGTGTACCATCGTTGTACATCCGGTGTAACTTTCAAATGCGCGTGTACATCGGATGTAATCCCGGTGTACTTCTGCGGTAACGTCATGTAACCCCGCGGTAAGACATCAGATGTACACTTGATGTACAATAAGTGTAACGCCAATGTAACCTCCACTGATTGTAACACGCGTGTAAACCGAATATAATGTCGTTGTAACCCGAATGTACTGTCCATGTACACTCGAAATGCGCTTGTAAGCCGATTATAACGTCCAAGTAACTCTTATAACTTATTTACGCTGGTAAATAATAAAAACAAACACTGTAAGAATTCACATTCGAAAGAAGGGATTCGCGCCGCTAGGGTTCCTCTATCGTGCTCCTTTTGAAGATTAGGGTTTTGCTACTGTGAGGAGTTACACGCTTAATGGAGGAGAAGGACAGTACGAGGACCTTAGAAGAGACCACTGGTGCGGATTTGGGTGAGGGGAACCAACTCGGACGCGAGCAGGCAACTGTTACAGTGAAGTCAAGCCGCAAACAGTCCAAAAAGGGAGAGAGTCATCCCGTTTCCAGGTATTTCTTAGTTTGTTGTAGCTGTTTTCCTTTGAATGGTGAAATGTTGTTCACGGTTAAGGAGCGCAAGAATTATATGTCTAACAATTATTTCATTATTGTGCATGGTTCAACACCAATTTTAATAAATTATTTTAGGGTTGAGATTCAACCTAGAATTAGGGTGCACGCGCAATTTTAGGGTTGCGATTCTAAACCCTAAAATTATAAAACCTAAAATAATTTGTAAACCTAAAATAATTCATTTTCTAAAATAATTTGTAAACCTAAAATAATTCATTTTCTAAAATAATTTGTAAACCTAAAATAATTCATTTTCTAAAATAATTTGTAAACCTAAAATAATTCATTTTCTAAAATAATTTGTAAACCTAAAATAATTTGTTGTGAAATGAATTTTATTAAACTTCTCTCATGTATCGTTGTAGGCTCTTGAACCCAAAAGCAATTAGTTGCAGATGCCGTCCATCCAGGGACATTGATCGAATGACATTCAATTTGGGAGGGACAGAGGTGAAATTTGTTCCTGATGAGGTTGCATTACTGGTAGGCATGCCCAACAGAAGAGTACCTGCATGTTGGACCAATGCACCGCCTGATACAATGGATGCAAGACAAATTAAGACTGCCCTGCTCAACTTTTCACTAGAGGAGTCATCTCACAACCTTCTGCAATTAATAATCAAATTTTTAATTTCAAATTTGTTTTTTCCTTCAAGCAATTTTAGAGTTTCGAAAGAATTGTCTTCTATTTGCGAGAATGTAGATATTTTTGCAGCGTACAACTGGTCAGCTACAATATGTGCATTTCTGCAGACGCAACTTAATGTTTGCGTAACTAAAATTAAAAAGGATCAGCCAGTGGGTTACATCAACGGTTTTGTGTTTCTTCTATAAGTTTGTGTTCCACCAATATATTTTGAAATCTCAGCTGCAATTGTCAATTTACAAATAACTCGTAATGTTTAACGCAGATCTGGTTTTATGAGCACACCTCCATGGTCCTCCCAGCATTGCCACAAGCTAAACCAAGAATGTTGAGGTGGTCAAATGTGAGATGAAGTACTCTGAAGATTCAAGTAGCCTTTGAAAGACTTAAGTCTGCCGAGGTCAGCAATTTACTTCCTTATCTCATTGAATTTGTTTTTTTGACGTGTTTCATTATTTTTTACTCTATGTAATGTCTTGCAGGTTTTTTATAATTTTGTTGACATTTTAGATAGCGAGCATCATCTCTTAGGTTCTCCATTACAAGAACCATCTAGCCCCGAGCAACATCCCCCAGGAAAGGATGTTATATCCCAGCCACAGTCGCCCAGCCCGCATTTAGGGGTGTAAACAAGCCGAACACGAGCGAGCCAAGCACAGCTCGTGTTCGGCTCGTTTATATTTCGAGCTCAAAAAGTGTGTTCGTGTTCGGCTTGTTTGCTTA